ATGATTCTCACCTGCACAGCTGTTCTTCCAGTGGCACCCTGTCCATCTCTGTGAGCGACATGACACCCCCCCCAAAAAAAAAAAAAATGTTACATACTATAACTCGTCCTTTATTCTGTTGTGCATTGTTTGCTTGCTCATTACCTGGTTGTCTGTGTTTCCTCTTCCTGCAACACGTCTTCATTGGTGCTTTCATCTGAGGTGCTTTCATTGTCTTGGTCCTGAAAGAATATAAGATACAACTTTAAAATAAGATTTTGTTATAATGGCATCTTGCTAGTAACTGCAGAAAAGGTCATTGGTAACCTAGCTATATTACAGTTAAACTAATACAATAACAGCAGGAAACAACACTTTCAATTAATTATTTGACCCATGATTATATGAATATAGCAGTATCATGGCTGACTTTTAAATGATTCAGAGAAGACTAGGGAGAAAGTGCTTTGGTCAGATGGAACCAAACTCAAGCACTTTGGCATCACCTCAACCTGCTGTGGAGGAAGAAAAATGCCACGTATGGCCTAATGAAAAACGCTTAAAACGAGTTAAGTATGGTGGTGGAAAATTTGGCTTTGAAATTGTTTTTCTGCTAAGATTACAGAATGATTTGACCACACTGAGGGGTTGGACTCCATTTCACTCTGGAGTTGAGAGGCAGCAGGTAGAGGTAGGTATATTTGTACCGTGTGGTTTGCTGTATGTTGAGGTTTTACCTGGTGGACCAGAGAGAATGTTAGATTGACAGACATATTGGGATAGCGTCTGAAGTCATGCTTCTATTTATCTGTTATGGTGAAGAGACAGATGAGCATAAATGTGAATCTGTCATTTTAGCGGTTTATGTTCCTACTCTCACCTATGGACACGAGGTTCTCTGAAGAGACCCAAACCCGGAAAAGCAGAAGAAAATGGAAAGATGGATGGGATTGTGAAATAAGAATTTGTTTAATAATGGCTAGTAGCCCCAGTGTGTGTGTGTGTGTGTGTGTGTGTGTGTGTGTGTGTGTGTATATATATATTTAAAATATACACATATGTGTGTATGTCTGTCCGTGCACAAACACTTTTATCTTAATTTGTGATCATGTATAATGTGTCCTTTTATTGAGATGTAAAACTCTATTAGAATTATTTATTTTCCAGAATTAGAGATCTCACAGGTCAGTCTGGCTTCGGAGCGCTTCTTCACTTACAGGAGGTTAGTCCTAGTACTTTATTGTGTTAATCAGTTAATAAATACAGGCATCAAACTATTTCACAATACAAAGCACACTTTTCTCTAAGCCATGCTTTATGCTTTGGGTTTAGTACTTACAGATCCAGGGATATTTCCTTCCTGTTCTGCCATTGCTCCAAATGAGTAAATTCAGTATGGCACCACAAATACTTCCTGAGGTCAAAAGACAAACCTGCAAAGCATATACAATGTCACAACAAAATCATGCCAGACACTTTGATCTTGTTTTATTTACTGAATAACATTATTAATTTTACCTGACTATACACTTAATGTA